AATAATAATAATAATAATAATTATTATTATTATTATTATTATTTTTATTATTATTATTATTAATTATAAAAAATAAAATACCGAATATGTGATAAAATAACAAAACAATAAAAAAATAAAATAAAGAAAAAACAATTCAACTTTAAAACAAAAAACAATTATTAAAAAAAAAAATTACCGAATGATAAATTTCAATTTTATAAATGATAGTACAAATAATAATAATAATTATTATTATTATTATTGTTATTATAACTATTATTATTATTATTACTATTATTATTATTATTACTATTATTATTATTATTTTTATTATTATTATTATTAATTATAAAAAATAAAATACCGAATATGTGATAAAATAACAAAACAATAAAAAAATAAAATAACGAAAAAATGTTATAAAATACTAAACAGGTGATAAAACAATAAAATATCAAACACATAAAAATAACGAAATGAAATATATATATAAAACAAATGGTAATAAAATATATAATAAAAAAAAAAACAAGTGACAGGTTAAAATTATTGTGTAAATGAGATGAGTATACGGGATGAAACAAAAAAAAAAAAAAAAAAAGAAAATAATAGAAAATTGCGAAAGAGGAAAAAAATATAATTTGCCCCGAGGTGCTTTAGAACTTTTCTCTTTCATTCTTCGTTGAAATATCATTCGTAATTCGTAATGTTTCTACAGTATAGTATAGTAGTATTCTGTTTCAATATTCTAACCGTATCCTGGACTAGAAGTTCCTTCTCTTTTTCTCTCTCTCTCGCTCTCTCTCTCTGATGTTGGAAGTAAATTCCTATGAGGAACTCATTCCAAATTCATACATAAATTCCATATCCACCATCTTTTGTGAAAATGTAAAAGAATGTGTGTAGGGATTTTAAATGAGTTCACAAAGGAAGTAGTACTTTCAACTCATATATGAAGAAAATTAAAACATATATTATTTATTCTGCCTACTTAAATGGCGCTTCACTTTTTTTCCCCTCCCCTTCTTCTTTTTTTAATACATATTTTTTCTCACTTTTAATTTTTTTTCCTTTCTCTATCTATTTAAACACTTGTTTTTTTTTATTATTAAAAAATACAACTTAAAAATTTTATATATTTCAAAAGAAATATTTTTATAAAAATTGTTTAGATACTATTTAGAAAAAAAAAGTAGAATTTCAAATCAATTTTTGCATCGCGAATTTCCAAATTCCTTTTTACTAATGAAAAAAAAATTCTCGCTTTTTCAAAAAAGAGGGGGAATAGGTATTCAGAGAATTTTTATTTGAAATGTTTCCGTGTGTCGACAAAATATAAAAAAAAAAATTCTCGTCGGGGCATTGAAAACTTTTCACAAGTGGACGGGAATATTCATTAAAAAATAATATATATATATATATAAATATAACTTCTATATTTTCGCGTGGCTGCGGGAAAAAAAAATTTTTTTTAACGTGATAATCCCAATAAGTCATCATTAAAATCTCGCCCTAAGTATTTTGTTCAATAGAAGAGCTTTTAATGCGATCGTATTACCAAGAAGGCTTTATTTGGGAAGATGAATGCCTTTTCTAAGTAATAAAGGGGCAAAAATAAAAAAAAAAAAGGAGGAGAAGGAGAATGGTTCAGTTTAGCGAACCACCTTTTATATACAATAAGCGAGTAATTTTTACTAAAAATAATTATATATTTTTCCCTTCTTTTTTCACACATTTATAAGAAAAGAAAAAAAAATTTCTTCATTCATTATTTTGTTTTAAACTTTAATTATTTATAAAACTTTAATTATTATTAACTTTAATTTAATTCAATTATTATAATTGAATATCGCGAGAGTAAAATATTATATTGATAATATTAATAAATTAGATAAATAATACCATTTTTGTGGAATATTATTGAAAAATTAAAATTTACAACACAATAATTAAATAATTAAATAATTAATTGGTTCTTGAATTTTTAATTGAAATTAAATTATTAAATTCCAAAGAATTGAATTAATTGCAAATTTTTTAATTTGGAAAATATTAATATTTTAGGAATAATTTAGCCGAGCGCGTTAAGGCATAGCTTTATTTTTATAGAGCGTTTGGCGTTCGAGTCCCGGGAAGGGTGAAAATTTTTTTCAACTATTTTTAAATGAGTTATTTATTATTATTATTATTATTATTATTTGCCTCGTAAAAAAATTAGGTATTATTATTTTTTTTTAACTAATATTATTAGTTTTCTATATTTATGTATACAATTTCGCGGAGAAAAGTTAAGAATTGTTTCTTGTGCAATTTATATAACTTTAATTTAATTCAATTATTATGATTGAATATCGCGAGAGTAAAATATTATATTAATAATATTAATAAATGATATAAATTATACCATTTTTGTGGAATATTTTTGAAAAATTAAAATTTACAACACCATAATTAAATAATTAATTGGTTGTTGAATTTTTAATTGAAATTAAATTATTAAAATCCAAAGAGTTGAATTAATTGCAAATTTTTTAATTTGGAAAATATTAATATTTTAGGAATACTTTAGCCGAGCGCGTTAAGGCATAGCTTTATTTTTATAGAGCGTTTGGCGTTCGAGTCCCGGGAAGGGTGGAAATTTTTTTCAACTATTTTTAAATGAGTTATTTATTATTATTATTATTATTATTTGCCTCGTAAAAAAATTAGGTATTATTATTTTTTTTTAACTAATATTATTAGTTTTCTATATTTATGTATACAATTCCGCGGTGGAAAGTTGAGAATTGTTCCTTGTGCAATTTTCAAGTCTCGCCACAAAGCACGTTAGCAACACTTGTGTATTAAGAAATATTATTGTCATCGTATTTTCATACGAGATAAAAGTTTTTGAAACATGAACCCCCAACAAAGTTTAAATATTCACATGCACTGCAGGTACGCGACGCTTGAAAACACGTGAGAGGCGTTCCCTTGCGGGAAGTAACAAATCTGTGCGTCAAAGAACTCAAGAACGATGATACTCCATTAAACTTTACGGGGTTATGAAAGGACAATACGGGTCGGCTAGGAGAGAAAAAAAAATAAAAAAAAAAAAAATTCTTCACCACGCAAGGCCGACAATTTATGGTACGTTTCGTCGTCGTCGTCGTCGTTTTTTTTTTTTTTATTATTCGCCAAGTGAGGAACCGAGGACACTTTTTAATATGTTCTCAAGTTTTCTAATTTTTAATCAAAAGTGAGTTTTCGATGCGACTTCTCTCTCTCTCACACACAGCTCTTTATGAACGTTATCACAATTTTATTTTCCTATTTAAAAACTTATATTTGAAAAAAAAACTTAATCTAACTCTTTTTGCGGGTAAAAAAATAAATAAAAAAAAAAAAATTTTCACATTAAACTTTTTTCTTTTAAATTAATGGTTAATTATTTCAAGAATTATAAAACGACACACTCTGATTGCTAAAATTTTCACTAATTTGCATTAGTGACGGACTTCTCGCTTTGAATTTAGTAGACTTTTAACGAATTCACGGTAAATTTGCCTTTCAGTGAAAATGTACACTTTGAAAATTTAATTATTTCATCCAAAATGACTAATTAGGGGGGATTATTTATATATATATATATTTTATTAATTTCTGTAATTGTCATTGGAAAAAAAAATTTTTTGATTCAAATAATCGATAAATAATTATTAATTCAAGTAAATAAAAAAAATTAGTTAATATTTATTTGATAAGTAACGGATTTGAATCAAATATTTTTTTTTTAGTAAAGACAATAATAAAATATATTTTACGTGTAAAAAAAAATCTTTACCTAGATCAGTGATACGTTTCACTAATGATGCGCCAGAAGGTGGTTTAAATAAAAATGAATTTGCACTTAAAAATTCTTTTTGATTATGATTCTTAGATGAATAACAAACATTTTTCAATAGTTTTTAAAATCAGTTTACGTGCACGATTTAAAAAAAAATTAGTTTTTATATAAAAAACAGTAATTTTATGGGGAATCAGAATTTATTTAATCTAATAAATACTGTAATAAATGATAAAATAATTACTTATTTTCAATTTTAATAAATTTTTTATTTTATTTTTAAATTTTATAAATAATTATATTGGTGTAGTGTTTGTGTCCGATTTTAAAAAATTAAATTATAATGTTAAAAGAACGATTTTAAGAGTGACAAAATTTATTTAAAAGAGTCGAATGATCTCTGAAATATTTTGGCAAGAAGAGACCTTTAATTATCGCTCTATAAAAACGGCACTAAACGTGAAAATGATAAACATTGATTTTAAAATACTTTCTTCTTGAAAGACGGACACTTTTTTACAAAAGCAGCTAGAGATTCTTATCTTATATAAATTTCCTAAATCCGAAAGATTATGCGAATCCATACAAAAACATGATTGCGAAACGAAAAGTAAATATAATGAGGGGTTCATTACCTCCTGCCGCCGTCAGATGGCAGCAGCATGCAGGGCGCACAAAATCGCAGCTGTTATTAGATTACTTTTCTACTTTTTGTTTTGCAACCAATGTTTTTCTATGGATTCGTACAATCTTTTGGATTTAGGAAATTTATAAGATGATGATTTTGGCTGATTTTGTTAAAAGTGTTCGTGTTTCGAGAATCTATTATCTATTATCTATACGCATATAAGTATACATTAAATAAATTCTGGTTCCTCATAAAATACTATTTTTAAATATTTAAAACTCAATTTGTTTTAAATTGGTCACGTAAGCTGATTTTAAAACCTACTGAGAAAAGTTTTTTATTCATCTTAGAACCATAATCAAAAAAGAATTTTTAAGTACCAATTCATTTTTATTTAAACCACCTTCTGGTGCACCGTGATAGCGAAATTTTTCGCTATTCTAGAGAAATATATCGCTGTTCCAAAGAAACTTATCGCTGTTCCAGATGAAGATTTTTTCTTTTTTTGCGTGTAATATGAATTTAATATGAAAAATAATAATTGAAATTTTTTTTTTGTTTCAGACGCTGTATCGTAAATCACTGCCTTCTTCCGGACAGAATCGACTCTTGAACGAATGTATAGGAATTGTTCTTTGACTCGCGAATCAAGGAAAAAGAAAAAAAAAAATTTTAAAACGGAGTTGTTGTTATACAGATATAAATATATATATATTAAAAAAAAAAAAAAAATAAATAAATAGCACTCCGTAATATTTTTGAATAAAAATACTAACGAAACGTTTTTACATTAAAAACTTTTTTGCTACTAGTATTGATCACGAATTTTCAACATTCAAGCTTTTGTCAACATTTTTACAAATTATTGTATAACAAAAAAAAAAAAAAAAAAAAACAAAGATCTTACTAATGTTTCATATGGAGTATAACTTCGAGGAAAAAAAAAATATAAATATAAATGCTCGCATTTGATAAGCAGTTTGAAATTACTGGTGTTTTTTTTCATTTATATATTTTTTTTTTTAACCAAGTACTTTTTTTTCCCCCTTGGCTTATAGCTTTTCCCTTGGATAGTAAACAACAACCGCCATTAATTTGAAGCTAGAAGATACTTTCGTAAATTTGCTCTGGAAACGGAAGCACGTATTCCGTCACGTTACAGATCAAGCACGAACCGGAGGGAGATGTTTTCAAATATAAGACACGAATTTTCTTCACTTTTATATTAATTACTTTTTTTTGAAATTAACTTTTTCTAATTGCATTTTTTTTCTTCTTTCCATAAAGGGAAACAATTTTTTTTTTAATAGAAATATATATGATATGGCAATTTTTACTATTTTTATCAATTTCGTAAATAAAGCAAAAAAGATTAAATAAGTTTTAATTGAATATCGAGTGTAATAGATAGCAAAAAAAAAAAAAAAAAGAAAGACATTTTATTTTATTTCGAGATAAAATGAAACTGTGGAATTCATTAAAAACTCGATCATTAAAGTGGCAGTAATTATTTTTACATGTATAGAACAATTTCGAGTTTAAAAATAAAATATCTCTCTTTGATACAGTTTCATAAAAAAATTTTTTTTTTATTTCACTGCATATTGACATTAATTACACTGATTTAAGGTGTTATTTATATATATATTTTTTAAATAATTAAAATAAATGAAATTTTCAATAATTATTTTCTCTGTATCTGATAATTTATTAATAATACCCCTTTGAGAGAATTTTGAATGAATTAATGTTTAATTTAATGGAATAATTCGAATTCTAATCTTCTTTAATATTGAAAATAATACAAAACAATCTTTATTTTATAATTAGAAAGAAAATTAATAAACTCGGAAGAGTTATTAAAATAATGTATTATAATAGAAAATACGTGAATAATGGCTTTTTTTTTTGTACCCCGACTCTTAAGGTAAGTGAAACAAATAATTTTTAACTATTATTATTCGCCTCTATTAAAAAGTTTTCATGTTCAATTTATTTGAGCCATAAATTTTCTATATACTGTGAAAGTTTTAAAGTCCATTATTTTAATTATAAAATAATAACAACTCGCGCAATGCTTTTGGAGTATTTCTAAATAATATATATATATTTAAAATCACACATGCATTTTTTTTTTTTTTTTTAAAGTTTCAATGTTCATTAACTCGACATCTATTTGATTAGTGAACCGATGTGAAATTTACCGTATACACACACTGACAGATCAAAGGAACTAATTATTTTTTTAATTTACGCGACTGGCAAGGCAAGTGAAATGTAAATTTGTCTACCTGCATTGGGCAAACCGATTAAAAGGCATGTGACCCACATTCCAATGAATCGTTTTAATTTACTTTCATTTTGGTTTACTCGCGCGCACACACACACTTTTTTTTTTTTTTTTTTTCTTTTTTTTTATTTCCCTTCGAAACGTTACAAATTAAAACAAACGACAAGTCGTGTGTACAAGGACAAGAAGAAAGGAAGCTCTTCCAAGTGCTCCATTCGTCTTTGCCAAAAGAAAAAAAAAAAAAAAAAAAGAAAAGGAAAAAAACATCTTTTACAAAAAAAAAATCCCAACTAAATCTCGTTTTATATCTCCTTCCCGCATTCGAAAATTGTACGAAACTTGACATTTGATTTTTTTTTTTTGAAACTTTATATTTATTTAATAAATAATAATTATTATTTATTTTTTTATTTTATTTAAAAATTTATTTATAATAAATATAATTTCTTTTTTAAACAAAATTTTTTTGAATAAAAATTATATTTATCATTTTCAAATTAATAATTATTGTTAGTTTTATTATTTAAAATTTACTCTCTTTTTAATCAGTTACAATTTTTTATTTAACTAATTTTAGTTATTGAAATTTACGCTTTTTAATTAGTAAAATTTTACTAAAAAAATATTTTTTACTATCGAATTTGTAAAATTTAATAATAATTTAATAACTTCATAATTTAAATAATAATTATACTTTCTAAATTTTAATTAGTAAAAATTGTTACCAACTTGAATTAGTGACACATTTTTTGACTTGAAATTGTAAAATTTAATTAATTTTTTTAAATAATTAAAATTAAATATATTTTTTCAAATTAATAATAATTAATAGTTTAATTATTAAAAAATTCACTTTTTTAATTTAAATTGAATTGAATTAGTAAAAATTTTAACGAATTTTAATTAGTTACTCATTAATTGCTTTTAAATTAATAAATTTTAACTAATTTGTAGTAAAAAAAAAAAAAAATTGTTTATTGTCGAATGAGTAAAATTTAACCTAATTTTTGTTATAATTGATTAAAATTAAATATATTTTTTTAAATTAATAATAATTATTTGTTTAATTTTTTAAAATTTACTCTCTAAATTTGATTTAGTAAAAATTGTAAACTAATTTGAATTAGTCACTCACTTATTGGTTTAAAATTAATAAAATTTAACTAATTAATAGTAAAAAAAAAATTGCTTACTATTGAATTAGTAAAATTTAATAATAAATTAACATAATTTAATTAATAATTATACTTCCCAAATGTAAAAATTTTAATTAATTTTTTTTTATTTTTTTTTAATTTTTTAGTTAAAATTTTAACTATTTTGAATTAGTTACTCAATTTTTGCAAATTATTAAAATTTAACTAATTTTTTTTGTTATAATTTATTAAAATTAAATATATTTTTTCCAAATTAATAATAATTAATTGTAAAAATTTTATTTTCATTAATTAGTTAAATTAGTAAAATTAGTAAAATTTAACTGAATAAAAGCAAAAACTAAGCCAGCATTTCAAAATTAGTTAAAATTTTTACTAATTAACGTTTAGAAAGTATAATTATTAATTAAATTATTTTAACAATTAATTTTAATTCATAATTTTAAAAATTACTAAATTTTGTACCTTTTTTTTTAGAGAAATAAATTTTTTAAAATCAAATTTAGAACAAAATATCGAGAGAGAGAAAGAGAGAGAGAAAGAGAGAGAGAATGCCTCTGGAGAATAAGTTTTCACGTCTCAATCTATATATTCTTTACGACGATAAAGATTCGCAAAAATAGAAGAGCAGTTGAAATTGATAAGAAAAAAAAAAAGTGATGAGTTTAATTTTTTTTTTTTTTCGTGAAAAAATAATGAAATAAAACTTTCCAGACGCGAAGCTTGTATCTCATGGAATTTTTATGACACACTGTATTATTGAAGGAAAGATAGAAGTTAGTTGGGAGAATAACTTGGGTAATGTCGCATAAAGTCTTCATATGAATCATTTTTATCGCGTTAGCAGGTACATCAGAATTTTTACTGCAGTTTAAGAAATATCAAGAAAAAGCTCTCAAAGAATATATATATATATATATATATATATATATATATATATATAAGATGGGGGGAGTAAAAGAATGTCTTTTTTTTATATATATTGAAGTGTGGCCACTGTTATATTCTATATAAATGGATAGACAATGGTTTTATATATATTCTAAATGGAGAAACAATTTAAAGAAAGAAAAATAAATTGAATAAAACCAAATAAAATGTCTTATAAAAAAAGAATCATTGAAACGCAATAGGCAAATTGAAATGAAAAACGAAATAAAATTTTAAGTAGAGAAAAATCCATTAAATCAGACATTTTTGCGATCGCGCATTGAATTGAGTGTTTACCTACATTATGCTATTTAATAATAAAAATATATTTTTAAAGCACGAATTTCTTTGATACAAAAAAAAAATTATTTGTTTCAAAAAAATTATATCTTATTGAAAAAATTTTCACTTTTAAATTTAAAAAAAAAATAAATGTAAAAATTTCTTTGTTACAAAAAGAAAAATTTATTGTAATCAAAGAAATCATCTTCTAATAAAAAAAAAACCCTGATATTAAATTCAAATAATTTTTTTTTCAGTAGTACAGTTTAGACAAATTTAATTTAATAAAATCATACCTTAATAAAAGTCATTGCTAAAACATTCATACCTGAAACAAACAAAAAAAAAATTTTCATTAGAAATAGAAATTGAAACCAAATAATTTAATTAAATAAACTGTATTTGAACCAATCATTTCTGTATTTAATACAAATATCATTCATGTCAAATAAGAATTATTTGGTACAAGTAAATATTTATTTGATAATAAAGTTCAATTATATTATAATTAATTTTTATTGCAAATATAAATTTTGCCTTTTATAATAAAAAAGAAAAGAAATTATAGAGAAGAAAATTCAAAAAAATGAAATTATAAAAAAGAAATTTATTATAGTAGAGCGTAATATTATTATATAATCATGCCAAGGGGTCGATATAAAAAAATATTAAATATATAATTTATATTTATATAGAATACGCCGCGTAATGTACACCAATCTTGTGGTTTAATCTGTCAAAATAAATGATGTGGCCCATTTAAGGTGTAGGATTACTCGTTAAGGGGTAGGGTTTGGAAACTTCAATGTCCCTTATGTTCAGGAAGCCACGAAACGCAATTCGCCACGGTTTATGCTATATCGTTGCGAAGCAAAATCTAAACTAACTGACTCGGATTTTTGCGCGTAATCCAGGCTCTAGAAGTCAGCAATATATATGGACGTTGGGAGAGAAAGAGAGAGAGAAGCAAATCCAATGTCCCTCTCAACTATCAAAACCCTTTTCTGCGTTCTCATATTATTCACAAGGAAAATTACAAACCCTCTTTTCGAATATTTACAATTGTCATTATTTTTATTATTATTATTATTATTATTATTATTATTATTATTATCATAATTTTTTTATTTTTATTATTATCATTTACTTTTATTTATTATTATTATAATTTTTTTTTTATTTTTATTAATTTTATTTTTATTATCCCTACTTTGTAAGCAAATTATTTAGATTTTATAATAAACTTTTTCTACGTACTTTTAAGTTTTTTTTTTTCATTATAAAAATGTAAATTAAATTTTCCAAAAAATAGAAAATTAGAAAAAGTAATTTAATTAAAAATAATAATTTTTTTTTTCTCAACTAGAAACAAATTTTCTAATACTTCCAATTATAATTGTTAAATTATTAATTTCTTTTTTTCTTTGACTATAATATTCTGTAGAATTTCTTTGATTTAAAGAATAAATTTTTTCGCATTTAAAGAAAATTTATTTAAATCAAAGAAATTTTTTTTGGAATAAGAAACCCTTTTTTTGTTTAAAAAAAAAAAAAAATTATTTTCGAATGAAAAAAAACAACTTCGAGAAAATGATTTCTTTAAATTAAGAAAAACTTTTTTCTTGGATGTATTATTATTATTATTATTATTATTATTATTATTATTATTATTATTATTAGTAAAAAAAATTGTATTTTGATTCAAATAATCGGTTATTTGACTTTTATCAAATAAATATTTAATTGTATTAAACTAGGGGGGATCCGCCCCCCTGCGCGCTTTGCGCGCCAACCCCCCTGTTTTAATCATTTTTTTTTAAATTTTCCATTGATCTTATTTTTCCAAATGAACCACCTATTTCAAAGAATTATTATTAC